ACCCTCGGGACTGAGCCTATATGAAGAGGAAGCTTTCAGATTGAAGCCCAAGGTTATCTGGTTTCCATTTAGATTTTAGCAGATCAGAAATAGGGAGGGAATTTGTGGTGGGTAGGGCTACTAGAAGTAGATCCTTCCAGAAGTGACAGCAAATTCAGAACCTGCAGAGACAGCAGATTTAATTGCAGTCAAGCTGTTTGCAGTCATTTATTGTCAAGTCCTGGAGACACGGTCACATTATAGGCCCGCAGTAAACCGTTTTCAAGATGATGATACTGAGTCATTTGAAAAAGAAAAAAAGACTCGTAAGATAATGTTCAGGCAACATTCTGATGAGACTGGAATATGTTTTAGAAATATTTCTACCTTAAATGGTTTAAAAATGCAAAAGTGGTGTAATAAAAGCAGTACATTTTAGTCTTGCTAATGTGGGCCTGCTTCTTCTCAGACTATGACAGCTTTTCTAAGGAGCCAGAATGGACAGTTTTCCCATCCTCCCTCACTTCTCAAAGTCTCCTAATTATTACGTAGTTTTCCTTGTTTCGGATAACTTTGATTCCTAAGCCACCAATACTCTTCCCTGTATTCTCATGCACTCATTTATGTAATACTTAGAACTTCCCTGCGAGATGGTGTAACAGTGTTATCAGCTTGGAAACGAGGGAGTTCGGTGTGGGAGGAACAGGACCCACCTCAGACTACACAGTGAACACGTGGGAGAGTGAATCCGCGGCGCCCAGAGTCTTCTAAAGGACAGTCCCACGTGTCTTCCCTGTACTTCAGATGACATTGTGTTTGGCCCAGCTGCTCTCTTCACTGTCCTCCAGATACACTCCTATGTCTCTCTAAAACCGTGGTTCTTAGAAATGGTAGGATGCCCTAAATTACTGTGTATCTAATATTTCTATTAACAAACCTATAATTTACCTTTGGTTGGGCAGCCCAGTTGAGCTGATAGCTGATTTCAAGCTTCTAGTCAGAATACTTGACTGGGCTATAGTCGCTCTCTGACTGGCCTCCCAGCTTCCAGCCTTAACCTTTCAGTGTTTGTTCCCTGACCAGCAGTGAGAGTGATCCAGCTACGACTTTCACCAGATCACTTCCCTGTTTGAAACCCTCTAATGTCTCCCACATTGCCTGGAGTAAAAGCCAAAGTTCTACAATTGTCTCTGAGACCCTCCTGGTGTGGCTCCAGCTTCCTTTCCATCCTCACTTCCTGCCAGCCTCCCTTACACACCGGCTCCAGCAACAATGGCCTTTGTTGTTCTTGACACTTGCGTACACTCTTTGCACTGGCTGTTTCCTCTGCCTGGAACAGCCTTTGCCCCGTTATCCACATGGCTTTCATCCCTTGCTTTAAGTCACTGCTCAGGTGTTACCTTCTCACCCCCACCCCATTATTCACCATCCTCCTTACCTGCTTGCTATTGTAAAGTCAGAGCATTTCCCATAGGCTCTTTCTTTCTTCTCTTTACCCATCTCATAGTATGATGTCCACAGGAGCTTTTCCTGGCCCAGTCATTAATATATATCCAGTATCGAGAACAGTGTCTGGCATATTCTGGTGGTAGCTAATAAGTAATTATTATTTATTTATTTATTTTTATATAATTTTTTATTTTTATATTCCCCATACATTTGCAACCCCCCCATTCTGTCCCCAATCCCTCCCCTCCCCGCCCCCACCCTCTGTGGAGTGTCTCTGGTTCATAGTTGTTTGTTGATTTTGATTTTTTCTTTCTTATAGTTATTCATTTTCCTGGTCCCTTATTTAAGTTTTCTAGGTTCCTGCTATGAGTGAGACCATCCGGTATTTTTCTTTTTCTTTCTGGCTTATTTCGCTGAGCATGATCCCTTCCAGCGCCATCCATGTTGCTGCAAATGGCATGTGTTTATCTTTTTTGAATGCTGAGTAATATTCCATGGTGTATATGTACCACATCTTCTTGATCCAGTCATCTGTTTTTGGGCATTTGGGTTGTTTCCAAAGCTTAGCTATTGTAAACAGTGCTGCAATAAACATAGGGGTGCAGGTGTTCTTTGAAATTGATGTTTCTGTGTCCTTTGGGTAAATACCTAGGAGTGGAATTGCTGGATCATATGGAAGCTCTATGTTTAGTAGGTCCAGAAATCTCCACACAGCTCTCCATAGTGGTTGGACCAGAATAAGTAATTATTGAATCAAGATTCTTGTTGTTCTGAACATGAACTCTTGATCTTTAGAAGACTGAAGACTGCCTGATCCTGTAATGTGTGGTTGTGTGGGAAATTTAGATCTAGTCATACAACTTTACATTTTGTTAAATCTGGTAATGGAAGATAAACTGGGCTGCATCTTTTTTTGAAAAAACTATTCTATTCTTTTATCAGAAAGGAAATGAGGCAGGCAGCTAACGTGTTTCTAGTGAATTCCTCGATATATATAAGTAGGACCAGAGATAAATTTTCCAAGTGCCAACCACATTTTATGAAACTCACCCTCCAACCTTTGTGAAAAGTAGAGCATGTTTCTTGCATTTCTGGTCTCCTAATTTTTTTCTGGTTCTTCATTCCCCAAGACAATCCGTTTCTTTAGGTCAGTTGGTTTTCTGGGCCCCATCCCCTTGGTCTCAAGTAAATTCTTCCCGCTCACAGAATGGGCTGGGAGAGAACTCTCCTGGGCAAAGTTGGCTGTGATGCGCCAGTTCTCCTACAGTATCACCCCCTTGCTTTGCAAAGTCTCTTGGCTTCTGGAATTTTCCTGACTCACTGTTATCTCAGGCTCATTGTCAATCAGTTTTAGTGTTCAGATTTCATATCCTGCTTTGTCCATTTCAGTTTGATCACGCTAATGTTATTTTCTGCCTCACTGAATTGAAGTTGGACTACTCCCTCTCCTTTTCTTTCTTTAAATCCATTCAAGAATTTCATTCAGGAAGTGACTTGAGTGGAATTTTATTTCACCTTTTATTCAAGAAACATTCCAACTCTTTGTTCAGAGCCTTGCCTGCTAGTAGCCATCTCTGGTCTGTTTTTTCTCCTAACCCCTGTGAGTAGCCACTGGGTCTCAATTTTTTCAACTGTGGGGAGTAGCCTACTGAAATGTCACTAATATCCCCCCCACACACACACCTCTTTCTTTAACATTCTTTATCATAATTATTTAAATTTATCAATTACTTTATTAGGATCATGTGTTTCAATTCACATCAGAGGTAGTGAGAGCCCACCTATTTTGGATGTGGCAGAAGCAAATCCATCACCTTCACCAAAGGCACATGTCCCCCGATGCTCATTCTCTGCACCTTCATTATTTACTTCTGCTCTTGCACTATTGCTCACACTTAGCTGAAGCCCCTAACTCTTAAGACCATGCTGCTCGCCTCTGTGCTCTAACTCTCCCGCTTCTTAGCTGACTAAGGTTTAGCCATTTCCTGATCCATATGCTGGCGATACGAACTGTTTACCTAAAAAGCACTTGGGCACTTACTTATTTCTTAAGATACAATAATAGGTACAATGCAGGAATAAGGGAAAGTAGAGGAAACTTTTTATTTTATTTTATTTAAATAATAAATTTTATTTTTATATTCCCCATACATTTGCAACCCCCCCATTCTGTCCCCAATCCCTCCCCTCCCGCCTCCCACTCCCCAAAAACTGTCCCTGGTTCATAGTTTTTTGTTGATTTTGATTTTCACTTTCTTATAGTTATTCATTTTCCTGGTCCCTTATTTAAGTTTTCTAGATTCCTGCTATGAGTGAGACCATCCGGTATTTTTCTTTTTCTTTCTGGCTTATTTCGCTGAGCATGATCCCTTCCAGCGCCATCCATGTTGCTGCAAATGGCATGTGTTTATCTTTTTTGAATGCTGAGTAATATTCCATGGTGTATATGTACCACATCTTCTTGATCCAGTCATCTGTTTTTGGGCATTTGGGCTGTTGTAGAGGAAACTTTTTTAAGGGCTTGGTTACTGCCATTTCACCTGGCCCTGGAAGACTTGTTTTTCTAGGTGAAGAAATGTGTTCTCTGTGCAAAGCTTTCATAATCACCATGAAGCAGGCCCTTAGCCTTGCCATTTAAAGGGGCACCTGTCTGTCACCTGTGACTCTTATACCTGCTCCCTGGGGATGAAGACACAGATGCAGTTCGTGAGCTCTGTTACTGTGAGTGCTGATGTCTCTTCGAATTCTACGGGGCCACGACCCCCCCACCATGGTATATGGGTGATGAGCACTTGACACTGACACTCCTTGAATTTCATGCAGCATGAAGGTATTCTTATTTCCTTGTGACCCTGACTGAGTTTCGAACAGGTAAGTGAAAGGGAAGGAGGAGCCAATGCAGACAGGCATAGAACCAGTGTTCAGTGTGGTCATCTAAACTATAGAAAATGAGCCCTTTAAAGTTTTCCCAAAGCAGATCAAGTGAGTAGAAATGTGGGGTGGAGAGTTCTTGTAATTTTTAAAAATGGTCATGGAAATGAAAATGTATCAGAAAAAAAAATGAATTCCATAATGACAAGGGTAGTTGTTTCATTAGGAAGGGAAAATGCTAACCAAGTAGATAGTGTCTGTGTATATGAACATGAAATTAAAAAAAAAGAGTGAGGGCATAAGTGACTAGTAAAGAATTGTCTGAAAAATCTATAAGTACAAACATTACCCCCAGGACCCCTAATTTGAAACTTCTTTGGTCACTGTAAAATTATAACACTCTCAGTGTATATGTAACAGCTTTTTAGGAACATATTAACCAAATGTACAAGTTTTGATTTGACCATAATGTGCAAGGGGAATTATGATTCTCTAGGATTAATGAATAACATTTGTTTATTTGATTTACTGTAAAAATCATTCTAAAATCTGTTTACATATCTGTCCTCTCCAGGATGAACTTTATGTTGGTTCAGCAGATTGTTTACTGTTTCTTCTTCTTTTTTTTTTTTTCCGTCTTCCCTGCTCAGTGCCCAACCCAAGTTCAAAGGCTGACGAGAGAGAACAACTCATGAAGAGGTTTGGCTCTAGGGAAAGTTCTTCAGTGGATGGGAGCTTGGTGCACAGGGAAAGATGTCAGGCTTTTCCTGGCTCCTTCTCAGCCTTGTTGCTGTAGCCACTGCTCAGACAACCACTGAGGATGAAGCCAAGGCCTTTTTGAACACTTTTAACACTGAAGCTGAAGAGGTGTCTTATAAGAGTTCGCTTGCTTCCTGGGACTATAACACCAATATCACCGAAGAGAATGTCCAAAAGATGGTGAGTGCTCATGGCTGCATAGGGGCATTTGTTGCTTCTTAGAGATTAGATGACTGTTCCTGAAACTGAAAAGGGAAATCAAAGAAATATTCTGAGCTGTGAAGTTGGATGTTTACCTCAGTATTTCTGATTCTGGAGTCCTAGAATGAATTGACCTTGGGGTTGCTTTATTTGGGAAATTGTTACCAAATAATTCACTGGTCTCAGTCCAGATTCTTGGAAATCAGTGGACAGGCTGTGGAAAGTGCTACCACCATTGTCATCATAGTCAGGGCTTCAGCGCACTTCGTAGAGATGCTAATGATTGCTTGAAGCCTGCAATGTCAATAGGAATCTCTAAAGAGTCTACAATGATACAGTAACTGAAAATGCAAGCGGAGGCTTAGTGAAAGGGCTAGCTAGTAATGAAACTCTGAGCGGAGTGAGGCTGATTTGGGAATTCCTTCTTTCTTTGACATGGACTGCTGAGGCACTTCTAAAGGTCACAGAATCCATCCAGAGCCCTGCAAGGAAAGCCATCGTTAAACCGGTTCTGTCAAATCTCAGAACGCCCCAGCAAAGTGAGATGCTTTGTTTGACAAGGGTTTAGGATTTCCTTCTGTCGCAGATCCCAAAGTGGTATCCTTACATGTTTAGTGCCAGAAAATTGAGCAACGTGATTTAATAAAGGATGACTGTGGCACTTGTTCAGCAATCTATTCATTCAAAAATGTAGCTTAGGAGCTTATTTTTTCAAATGATTAGTGGGTTGCAGATTTAAATTAAATCACTTTCATTGCAAAACTATGGGGACAATAAAAAATATCAGTACTTCCCTGGGGTTAGACGGGCAAGGGAAAGAGAGCCACAGCACAGGGGCTTTTAGAGCAGTGAAAATACTCTGCAGGATATTATAATGATGGGTGCATGCCATTAGATATCTGTCCAAATGCAGAATGTTCCATGCCAAGAGGGAATGCTAGGGTAAACGATGGCCTCTGAGTGATGATGGTAATGTCAGTGCAGGGTCGTCCTAGGTAAACAAGGCACCCGTCTGGCGAGTGATGTTCCTAGTGGGGGAGACTGTGTGTGGGAGGCTTGGTGTGCACGAGGCATATGGGAACTCTCCAGACCTTCCTCTCAAATCTATTGTGAACCTAAAACTCTAAAAAGTGAAGTTTTAAAAATAAAAAAAACCCACACACAAAGTGGGTTCTTGAAGGTTTTACGGGGGAAAGTAATCTAAGATATCCCATTATTAGTTTTTATATTGCTTGTATTTTAAAATAAACAAATATTTTTTTAAATAAAATTCATTATTTTAATTAGAAAAAATAAAGTATTGCCATTGACTCGACAGGTCAACTTTGGTAACTTCTGCCTCAATAGAAATCCCTCTGGAGAACTTTTTAAATTTTTCAAAAGGTCAAAGAAATCCTGGAGATTTCCATCGGCCAGTGTTGACATAGGAGATCTTCTTTTTTCTTGTTTCATATATTGGTCTTACCTCTCTTCATCTCCACAGTGTTTCTTACTGCCCCCTCCACCGCTCCCCACCCCCACGCTCTTTATTTGATCTCTGTTAGAGGTGCCCAGAGTGTACGCTGCATTTGTTTTCCTTCTCGGATGATGGGGGAATGGGTGGTGGTGAGGGTACCCCAGCATTCTGCCTAATAATGGGCACTGGAGCCAGACTGTCTGGGTGTAGATCCTGACTTCACCGCTTTCTAGCTGGGTCTCCTGGAACTAGGTAATTAACCTCTCGGTACCTTAGTGTTTGCATCTGTGATACAGAACATAACACTCACATCTGCCTCCTAGGGTCACTGTGAATTTTGAATTAATACACAAAACCACCTAAGTGGTGCTCGATGCTTGTGAACACAAGGGACCATCAGACATTAGTGTCATAAGTGGGAGTGGTTATGATCGCCCAAGGGGCATGAAAGGCAAGTGATAGGATGAGATGTAGTGATATTTGTTGAAATCATCTCTGGATTATTAAGTACTATCATTTCTTAATTGCACTGGCTGATTAGATCAAAGGCCAAAAAACGAAAGGGCATGCATTACAAAGTATGGTCAAACTTCAGCTAAGCACAGGCCCTTTTAAAGGAAAGTGAAAATCTTTGAAGGCAAGAAGCAAGCAGGGGCCCACCGTCTCCTGGCTTGAGCTGTGGTGAAGGGTGTGTTGGTGTATTTTGTGTGAATTTCCCTGGACAGGAAGGCAGTGAGAAGGGAGGGAAATGGCTCTTGCATCAATTTTCTGATCACATGTACTGAGGTCCCCAAATGCCACGGGCTCTTGCGCAGGTGCTCTGAGAGGTAGCGAGATCAGCAGGCTACTGAGGTGTGATCTGCTGCTGGTGGTCATACTTTAAGGAAGAATTTTAGAAATGGAAAATGTTCCTCTACCCCTCTCCCCCCAAAAAAGAGTAGTGGGAATGATTCAAAGGGGTCAGACAGAGTGGGGAGGGAAAGCCAACATAACCGTACAAAGAAAATAGCAATTCATCTGAGAAGGCGAAGGCGAAGGCGCATGAGTGTTCACGGTCTTATTGGCTGAATCTCTTCCTACCAGAAAGATGGCGCCTTTGAAAGCTCAAAAGAGAGAAACTGATAACAAGTAGGAGGAGGTGGTATTTATATCACAAGTGGTGAAACTGGTGCGACTTGTAAAACTAAGCGATTCTTTAATCTAAAAAAAAGAAGATGTTGAAAGATGATAGATGAGTTTTCAAGTACTGAAGCCAACTTATGGCGTGTAGCCCCACCGTGCGGGGGGTAAGGAAGTCTGCTGAGTTCTGCTGGAGGCCGTACTTCTTCATCACTCTATCAGTGCCCGAGTTATGTCACTTGGCAGTGCTGTCCCACCCAGGTGATGTGACTGTGCCTTTTGCCATGGCACTCACTTTGACCAGCGGGCTGTAAGCTGACAGGATGCCAGAGGAGGTTTGGAATGGACTTGAACAATGGTCCTTTGCACTGTTGCCTTCCTCAGGACATGTCTGGGCCAGCCAGCGTAAGAATGAACAGCACATAGAATATTTATCCTGGCATAACCAACCCCGAGAGTTGTGAGTATGTCTATCCAAGACCAGCAGAGCTGCCCGGCAACCCCTTCGTGATTCTAGGTCTGTGAACAATAAACGCCGATGCCATTGAGGTTCTTGGTTGTTTGTTATGTAGGATTACTGCAGCAATAGGGAACTCACACAGGAGGGGAAGTTTGGGCTGTGTGACACGTGTATGTTCATATCCGATCGGGGTGACATGACTGAGGACATTCTCCCATTTCCTAGTTGTCTATGAGTGTGGCTTTCGGAGTCAGTATTCTGGGCATGGAAGCCTATGGATGTCACTTAATATGATGATTCGTAGACCCAGTTGTGAGAGGTTTCCAAATGGCGCAGAAATTTAGTGAAAATAATTACCAAGCCCTTGTCACATGAGATGTTGTGAAGAGGTGTTGGGTTCAGTAAGTGGGGTCCTTGGGTTGCCTCTGAGAAGTTTCAGCAGAGCTCCCCTTTCAGCGACACACGGCAAGTTTGCCAAAGAGACAAAGGTGTTCGCTTATATCCAAAAAGGTTAGATTTATTATTAGAAGGCAGGGAGGGACACTTGCACAGACACAGGCGGGCAGAAAGAGCTGCATCGTGCCAGGGCAGAAATTGTTCTGCTCTAGTGCTCTTCTTTGGAGGAGGGGTTCATTTCTTTGTGGAATTGTTATCTATTGTTAAATTAATCACTTTCAGGGTGTGATTGGGTTGATTTGTAAGGACCGGTGATTCCCTCTCATGGCCCTCTGCCTCCATACCCCCACCTCTGGTCAGTTCCTCAGATACTTTCTACAGCAGTTTGCTTTCTCCACAGCGGTCTGCATTTTTCATCTTTATAGCTGGTTTAATGACTATGTTAATCATTTCTACCCCCACCTGCAGTGTCTGGTCTTGCGTGCCTCCATCCCAGATTCTTTCTCTAAGCCCCTGTCATCCTGTTACACAACAAATTGCCTCTTGGCTTTCTAGTAAATCCAGTTCTCATGTTTGAGATCAAATGCATTCATCACTTCAACTGTGATTATCTTCTCAGTAAAATGATAATACTTTTTGTGCTTTGCCCTTCTTTGTAAGTTTATTGGTTTGATTTTTTGAATAGAGACAATTATAAAGCAAAAGGCTTTTTTCTCCAAAGTCAGAAGCCTGGCAGCCACATAGGAGTTCCTGGACTATTTTTAACCCTGCAAGAGTGCCAAGAGACCCCACTGCTTGCAGGGGCCTCTGGACCCCTGCTCTGGTACGTGGCTGTGACCGCTGTCCATGCAGCCGAATTGGGTGTGGGAGACTTCCCTGTGGGATCCCTGCAGCTCTTTGTGAACACCGAACACCGTAGAAACATCTCCTGGGGAGTTCTCAGCAGCTGTGATGAGAGTGCAGGAGGCCCAGACTCACCAGTCGGTGGTCTCTGAGTTTTCGTCAGCCCCCTGCTGCTGGGCCCCCTAGAAGTGTTGGACACCCCTGATCCCCAAACTTGTTCCTCTGTTTTCGGGACCTGGGTCATCATGAACTCAGAGCAAAGTAACTTTAAGCTGCTATGTTATACCCAAGGGGAGACTGTCGACTTCATCCCTGCCTCCTAGGAGTGTGTCCCACACCCGAGACACATACACACTACCTATACACATTACTACAAACCAGCTACACACAGGTACAGGGACAGGAATGTCACTGTGCGCCAATCCCATGGCTTCAGGAGATCTGATGCCACCTTGACTATCTTGAGCTGGTCGTGACACCCTGGGCAAGTCACTCATTTTGTTGTCTCTTGAACTGTAAGGGGGTAGTGAGCCCAACCGAATTTCTTTGTTAAGTGACAATTGTGAATGAAAGTGTTCCTCACGCGGAGGGTGAGATGCATCAGAGGCCTGGTTCCTGCCAACTTTCCTTTCTCATGAAACTTGACAATATTTCAGTTTAGTGATGTGATGTTGGTGAAATTGAACTCGAGCAACTCCAAATGAC